ACATCAACAAGACCTGGGGAGGGGGGGGTGATATTTGATAGGAGCAATTGTGTGCACTGCTGTTTTAGGCTAACTGTGGCTATACACTGCTATGTCAACAAAAGTCAATTTTGCCATATGGAAACCTAATTATGTCAGGACAATCTGTTCCAAACACTGCAGAATTTCAAGTCATTTTAAAAAAGCAGTTGGATTCTTTAAAAAAAAAACAAATATCTAACTGCAAATCTTTGTTAAATAAGTCTTATATTTCAGAGCTGGAATTTACTCTTTACAGAGTTGAGGATAATAAATACTGAGGTTTTAATTATGTGTAAGTGTTTCAAAATGTGTTAGATAAGAAGTAAACATAAGTATTTTCCCCACTTCTTCAGTAGAAGTTTTATCTAAACTGGATGCCAAAGTACCCATGATTTTAGAGCCATAATAGCCTTGTCTTTTTCATTTTTATGCTAAAGTAATACAATCCAAATGAACATCTGACTGTAGATAAGAAGAGACATTTTAATCTTTGGCTTCTTCTCTGTTAAATTGAATATATCTTTTTTTTTTTGTATTGTCTATAATTGGTCCTCAGTATAGATGAGCGTGACAGCTTTGGGAAAATACTCAGGAAACCAGTTTAATGGTTATCAATGCATAGTAGAAAGATACTTCCAGTGGCTTCTGCCGTTTACAATCAACCACCAATAGTAAAGAAATAAGCAATCAAGAAAAATGCCATAGACTAGTACTGTACTTGGTAAAATAGTCATGAAAGCTCTGGAAAAGATATTCAAATGCTGTGATATCTTATGTACTGACAAAAAGCAAAGTGCAAGCCATAGTATTTCCTGCTACGCTCCTTGGAAATTGAAAATTGAAGAAGCAGAATAGGAAAAGTATTGATGCTTTTAAACTTTGGTGTTGGAGAAGATTCTTGAGAACGTTGTGGACAGTCACAAAACAAACCAATGGATCGTTGAATAAGTCAACTTGAATTCTTACTTGCCGCACAAATGATCAAGCTCAAATTATCCTACTTCAGACACATTATATGAAGATCTAGCTTTCTGGAGAATGCTCTGGATGAAAAGAAAGAGAAGAGGATGACCAGCAGCGAGGTGGGTGGACTCATTTATAGTGGAGGTTGGTACAGTGTTGAAATACATTGAAGACTAGGCTAGGAACAAATCATCATGTGGAAAATCTGTGTGGTTGCTAAGAATTGACATTGACTTGAGGGCATCTAATCAATTAAAACAAAAAAGGTAAACACTTTGTTATCCAGAAACATCTAGTCTTCTTTTACTCCTGATAGCTTCCATGATTCTGATAAGCAGAAAGCCAATAACTGAATGGAAGTTAGTAGAAAAATGGAAATACTTGGCTTTTGGATTCTTTTCCATCCCAGTAATAGTAGTAGTAGTAGTAGTAGTAGTAGTAGTAGTAGTAGTAGTAGTAGTGATAATAATAAAGTTGGAAGGGACCTTGGAGGTCATCTAGTCCAATCCCCTGCTCAGGCAGGAACCCTATTCAGACAAATGGCTGACCAATCTCTTAAAGATTTCCAGTGTTGCAGCATTCACTGCTTCTGGAGGCAGGTTGTTCCACTGATTAATTGTTCTCACTGTCAGGAATTTTTTTCTTAGTTCTAGGTTGCTTCTCTCTTTGGTTGCTTCTACTTCACCTGATATGATTGTCATTTAATATTAATCTGTTGCTTCTCCTGTAGAATATCCCAATGAGAGCGATCCTCCCAATTTGCTATCTTAAGTATATGTGGACTTGAGCACTATGATATGGAATGCAAATAACATCTCAAAATCTAGTTTTGAGTCAAATGGCCTAAACAGAGTTAGCAATTCTTGAGGCTTTATAGCAAAATCCTCTGCGCTCCCAGAATGATTCAATTACTTGAAATAATTTTCTTGACTGGAATCGTATATCAGATACAGTTAGTTTTCCAGTAATTACAGTTAAGTGTAACCCAGTCAGTTCTGTGTTGCTTGTGTGTTCTCCCTTCCTCACGATTCTTTTGTGATATTGCCAAGAATTGTCTAAGGCTGTTTGTTTGGGTTTTTTCCCTACATGCAACTATGTCTGGACTCAAAGCTGGAAGGTTTTGCAGACATCATTTGTACTTCCCAGGACTTGGCTTAAACACAATCCTGAATTTAATAACCAGCTCCAGAACAGAAGCAGATACTCCATAAATCATTTTAATAGAGAATCAGAATATTATAACCATTTATTTTTAGCCTAACTTACTCATAGATGAGAAAATTTTGAATGTGTATGTATTATTATTGCATCCGTATATGAACACATGTATCTTGTCACCAATAAATTCATGTAATGTTGGTGACCAACAGAAATGTGCACATTTGTCTATTTGTAGAAACATTCCTACGAACATTCTTTTGTGTCCATGAGGGATTAAAAGGGAGCAATTGCTGAAATGTACATCACAATATCATGAAGCAAACCTTTTTTTATTTTCATAATAACATCAGATAAAAGTTCATCATGGATTAAGCTTGCATTGCCACAATGCATGTGTAGTCATTTCAACAAACTCTTGGCTTGCTTGCTTATTCTCTATGTACTTTAAATCTCCAGCCACATATGAATAGTTGTTCTGTGATTTATAGGTATTGTACTGGTTTGGGATTTTTGAAGACTTGATTTGTTTCTGTATAGAAGATTATGCATATTGGTTTGAATCCATATGTTCATAATATACTTAGTATGCATGCCTAATATTAACAAACCTAGATACAGTAATAACCGTAAGAAGAGTGCACAACTTGAGCGAGTGGACTTACGTTACTGCTGAAATCTTTTGTGTGATGTTAACATTCCAGTAGAATCTAAAACAAACATGCATGATTTGAAAAATTACGGCATGTCAGTCACGATTTCATTTCACAAAAGTCATAAGTCATAACAGTGATTTGATGTCATGACACATGTATCTTAATTTTTCTCAGTGTTCCTCTGCAGACATTCATGCCTGAGTTGCTCCAAAATTTGCCATTTTTCATGTGACAGAAGTAGAGAATTAGGGAGAATGATTAATTTATTTTCACTATTAAATTAAATTTATTCCAGTCATCTCCACCTTTTTCTCTTGAACATGCTTAATTTTGTGACCAATGGCTCAGGCATACCTGTCAAAGTCCAAGTATACCTCAGTGTGAAGATACAGTGGAAAACATTGTTGAACTTGAAAAGCATGCATAGGATTATATGGGTTATGGGCAATTTTGGGATGTAAAGAATAACAAATTAATTATGTTATAATAATAGCCAGTCACTTAACTTGCCAGTGAATATTTGTTTAAAAGAGAGCTGTGTTATGTGTTCTGGAAAAAAGGAAAACAGTTTTAATTGATACACTCCTGAAACAAATCAAGAGGATAGGGAGCACTCTGCAAGATGGTTGTGGTACCATATTGAGGTAAACCAGGTAGAAGACCAAAAACTAAATATGATACAGGAGGTCTGTGCAGAACAATTAAGATTTGCTTCATCAAAGATATTTTTTACCACAGTGGTAAAATTTCTTTACTGAAAAAAGTATAATAGAATTTGCTCTGATGAAGCACTTAATGTTGTCCTGAAACTTCCTGAGTACTACTTCCAAAGTCAGGAGAAGATTCTGCACAGAAATCACACTTGGTTAGAAGCCTTCTCAGGTTTTGTGAAGAACACACTGGATAAAGTAGAATGATATATCTTCCAGGATGGCTCACCAAAGCTTGGGCAAGTTGTATTGGAGGAAAAAAGCGTCATGTTCTCTGAAGCACTTGTCAAAAGTTTATTTGTCAAAGCATAGCTAATTAAAATGACATGGCCATTTTGTTTTCAAGGGAAGGGAGGTGACTTAATTGCTTCAAGAAACTACTTCAATGAAGTAATTTGCTTGAATATTCAAAGAAACAAAGCATCTCTTTGAAAATATGCACTGCTCTATGATGCAACATTTATTGTAATAGGGTAAACAAGAATGTAGACGGGAGAGAGAGGGAGGGGGGAATACAAAGCATGCATTTATGCATGAGACTGTCTGCATCAATCATTGTATTACCTGCATCTCCTACCTGGTGGGTTGCAAAAAAACCATTTAGGTAGCCTCTACTTTACAGTCAAATGGTGCAAAACGCCATCCTTTGCATAAATTGGTAGTTTTTAGTATGGGCCAAATGTTCCTCCAGCATGTTATATTTTGAGAAGTCACAGAAGTAAATGAAGCTTAAAAGGGGATTATGAGCAAAAAATAATAATGATGATGATTGAAAGCCTCTGATATAGATGACCGAAAGTGTGGATGAGATAGGGCAGAGAAAATGAGTTGATACACAAATTGTCCTATGGTTGCAAAAAAGAGTCAACTTCTCTTTCAGGTTATTTTTTTTAATTTTATTTTCACAATTTAAACATCTGTTTTCATGCAGTGTTATGTTTTGTCTTTGCTGGTGGCTTGGATTGTTGGCGCAACTTATTATTACAAATGTCATCTTTCCTCACAACATTCTGAGATGGTTTCTAGTTTCTATTCCTTTGTCCAGTCTTGTTAACTTTTCCATTGTATAGCCAGGTTTGCCATGACAAGATTATTCTGTGCCTGTGCTGGTCATTTGATATCTGATTGCTTACCTTTGTTGTCTATAACTTAATTGTCTGCAAGTTAGTTGTCTACAAGCTTTTAGGAACCTGGTATTTGTTTTGCTGAGTCCTAATGTTCCAGACTGTTACTATCTCATATCTCCATCCTTGATCTTGTCTTCAGTTTGATATAAAACGTTTTCCTTCTTTTCATGCTTTTAGCTCTATATTGCTTCAAACTATTTCAGTCTTTTCACAGAGCTGTAAAATATAATTTTAGGCTATCAAGTTCAACTCTTGAATCATTTCATGGACTAAGCTAGCCCTCTGCAGGTTGTGTCTTTGTATGAGTTGCCATTGTATGCAAAGATGGGTCACCATTCACAACCACTTTTCTCTTTGTGTTACAGAAAATGCCAGTGAGGAAAATTCCCTGCAAAGCCAATGCTCCCTCTGGATCTTTTTTTGCACGGGACAATACAGCAAATTTCCTATCCTGGTGCAGAGATGTGGGAGTGGATGATACTTGTCTCTTTGAATCTGAAGGCTTGGGTATGTATCACCCAGTAACATGAGGCACTTTTTAGCATATTGCACTGTATGCCACATATGTTCTTAATGATTTTCATGGGATTTAATCAGTCTATCGTGAGGTCACGTTCTGTTTCAAAAAATAATTATATCGAAGTGGCATGTCATTATTCCTCCTTATTTTTTTACAGAACTCAATAATTTATAGTTTCTTTACTTTTGGAATAATGTGCATTATTTTTAAGTGCATAATAATAATTCAGAATTTCAAAGAAAATAAAGGCATTTCAAGAAACGGGTTAAAAAAGCTTGATTCAACTCTGTTATATTTTAGACTGTAATCAGAATAAGTCTTCCACACCATTTTGATGCTCACAGCTTCACAACAGATATTTTTAATTTCTTGTTAAGTACACTTCCTGAATAGACCAGTACTCTCTGCAGCGGGCTACTTGGAGATTATAGAAAATTAAAATGCTGCTGTAACCTCTGTCATTGTCCCTCAGATATTCCAGAGGATGAGAACTGGTGGCAAGGCATGATGGTATCTAGGAAAGGTGGGGCAGCTCTGAGAAGCTAAATGGGACAAGGCAGAAATTCTTTCTCTCGGAATACTTCACCTTGTATTTCCAAAGGAAACGTGGTTTTCTCTGGAACAACAGCTAATCAACTGTGAATCAGCATTCAGAACTCAACCGTCCCACTTTGCTAAGACTTCTACAAATCCTTAAGGCTGAGGCGCAGCACTGATCTCACATTGGTGCAGCTACTGAATGTGGAAGGATTTTTACTTAGATGTCAATTTGATAGATGTCATTTGGGAAGTTAATACATCAGTTATCTTGATTACATTGTATAATTGCTATGCAGGCTAGAAAAAATGAATGATGTAGTTGTTAGTAATGAATGATCACTTCAAAACATAGGAAATATGACAAGCCTGGCCATCATCGCTTTCCTTCAAGCTTGCTGCCAGCTGCCATGGAAATGGGAGGGAGGGAACAATGGGCATTTGGGAGGGGGAGCAAGCAGGAGGTGGGATAGTGAAATTCTAGGAATGACTGGGGAGGATTGGACATGGAAGACAGAGAGGCCAAAGGCGGCTATCTTGCATCTTCAAGGCTAACCATCCTGGGAGTGGTATGCACAGAGGCATAGAGCACCTGGACTGGTGATGTTCCCAAAACATCTTACTGGACAATGATTGGACTCTGTCTGCCTGACTACTGAGAGGGTGGGCTCTGAGATGATTTTCAATTTGTAATTTTTACGCACACTCGCTTCAGACCTTGCCTGACTTTCACTGCATTCAGATATTTCCTAGTAAAATCTTCTTTTCTCTAAATCTATAGAGTCAGGGGTTTTCTTTCCGGGGAATTGATTGGGGGCAGTCCAGGCAAAATAATTGTATTACTGATTTTTTTTGCTAATTATTATTCTTTTTTTGTTGTTGTTGTTCAGAAAGGGCAGTTTTCTCTTTATCTACCTGTTGTCTGCATAGGTTTTTTTTATTATTATTTGGGGAAGCATTTAGACAAGCAACCACTTAAATATATTTAATAGTAGTAGAATTCTGGAGATCTTTATCATATTTTTCTCCTAAAGGTTTTAGCCCCTAGATCATTTCTCAGTGAAAATTATTCAAGAAAGTGAGCAAAAATTCAGACTACAATTCATTATGCTCAGGATTTTTCTATTATATCCTATTATTTTTTTCTAATCACTACTAACATTCTTTATTTACTGATCTATGTAGTTTTTTTTTGAATGGCACTTATTACTGAGTTTCAGAAGTCACTCATTTAGATCTTGATAACTAAAGCAGACCCACAGTTTGGTTTGGGCTTCAATTTTATGCTTATAACTTTGTAGTATGTGAGTATCAATATTCTAAGATTAGATCTATTCTCCCTGCTACTTCCAGGTTTTTTTTTTCTGATTATTTGGCTTACTGGCCAAAAATGTTTTGTAAATCCTCAATAACATATGTAAAATAACGGCAAATCAGAAAAAGATCTTAAACATAATAACTAATAATCATTTGCTTTCTCAAATGATTCTTTTTAAAGTATCTCTTAATAAATAAAAAAGGAAAGAATGAATCATATGTAATTATTTAATTTTGATATCTTAATAATAAGAAAATCAAATGTATACAATACCAAATTAAATATCAGGATCTTTCAGTTGGCAATTCCTTCTGCCAACTATATAAAATTTGATTTTTTTTATGTTTATATCATGAATGATCAAACATTAAGGACAAAGATGAAATTAGCATTACTGGAAAGTACTTGCCAACATTGTTTTTCTTTTATAAGATTATATGGCAGCTGTAAAGAGTATTTCTGCAGCTCTGACAAGATACTAAACTGCTTTAAAGAATTGCAGATAGTAGCTAACATCATGATTCCAGATACTTTGAAGTTCCTTTTTGCCTTCCAACCACCTCATACCTGTAACTTAATTCTTGAATGATCTTAAGAAATTCACAGTTTTCATAGTTAATAGCTACCTGAAATATACTTCATGAAAGATTGCTGCACATTGAATTGATTTTTTTTTCAATGCAGCTTAGGTATGTTTGAGTATGGAGGAAGGAGATGGAAATAAAACCTAATATGCCAATACCATGTTGCTTTTCAAATGAAGTTACTATTAATCTACATGAAAATACAAAGCCAAAGTTGACTAATTTTGAAAAGTTAAGCAGTGTTGGACCTGGGTAATTATTGAATAGCAGACCACAAGACAATTCCAGGACTTTGTGTTAGTCTGGGAAAGTGATAAATCACATCTATGGTTTTGCTAAAAATATCTACATGGGTTGTGTACAACATCCTCAGGGCTTGGAGAAATTTATTTTTTTTTAAATCACTTTTTCAGAAAATGTAAAACTGGCTTGTTTATTTTTATACATAAATCTTTAAATCACTATATTAGTGTAGATGTTTGGCTCAAGTCAATGTTCTTTGGTGAAAAAATAACATGTAAAAATCCAATTCTTTTACATATCCAGGAGATACAAATTAATGTTGCTTGTGTCCTTAAATTCATAACTAGAATTCAACTAAACATGTGATTTTAAAAATGGCATATAAATATTTTGAAAATAACAGGATGCAAGTATTCTTGTCTTACATTGATTTACCCCTAGCCATTTCATTCAGAGAAGAAGAGGAATCAAGTGATAATATCTTGTATCTTGTCTTGTATCAGATTTGTACCCCAAAGGCACTAGTTCAGATAAAATCCTCATCTTTGAAGTATTTTGTTCTCCTTTTAATTCGTACAACAGATCTCTTTTGATACAAAATTTAGGACAACTTTTTTGCCTCAGGATTGCATTTCAATAGGAGATGAAGAGAACCAGTTGTTTGTTTGGAAATGAAATTCAGCTGTTGCGATGGAAGATGAGCCCATTGAATCAACTGGACTATTATCAAGAGGCTTCTGTTTTCCACAGCTCAAAAGGTTTTTGAATATGTGTAACTTATACCTGAGTTGCAAATGATCTGTTTGTCTTCTGTATTGAACTTCTTTTTCTATATTTTTGTATGTGAGAATATTCTGTTTGCATTGTCTTCTTTGCTTTCTTCATTACTCTTGTTGATTACATAATATATATCTATCGATAGCTGTAGTTCTGTTAAATTGTTTTTTAAACACACTGATATGCTAATAAAATAGCCAATTTAGCCCTATTGCTTCTTAAGAGAAAACCCTGCAAACTGATAAAATGGTAATTTAGGTTTGTAAAAGTATAAGCCATCCTTCAAAACAGTTTTCTTGGATATTTTAGAGCAGGGATGTCAAACTGCCGGCCCATGGGCTGGATGCATCATGGTGAAACCGCGCCCACCCCATTGCCGGCAATGGCAAAAGAGTCACGATATGTCGCGATATGTCACATGGTGTTGCGAGTTTGACACCCCTGATTTAGAGCATTGGAAATTATGTTAGGTTCTTATAAAGCAGCAGTTCTCAACCTGTGGGTCGGGACCCCATTTGGGTTCGAATGACCATTTCACGGGGGTCGCCAAACAACGCAGTCCGCCATTTTTTTCCCTTTTCCTTAGCTGTGCTACTCCCTTTTATTCTATTGGCTTTTGAAAGCCAATAGAATAGACTCTCTTGAATAAAGTCTAATTCTATTGGCTTTCAAAAGCCAATAGGAATGGTCCAGGCTGTCTTTGTCCTGCTGAGCCCGCCAAAAGTCCCATTCTGCAAATGGTGCTGCAAGTTGTCTGCAGCGAAGGCGAGCTGTCTGAAAGTTTCCACCCCTCCCTGCTGAGCAACTACTAAAAATGTAAGGCCAGGGGTGGGAGGTGGGAGGCCAGCGGGTGCAGGGAGGGTTGCTGGCATGCGTGGGGCCCAGCGGGTGCCTTACCTCCCTTGGGCTGGGCCAGCTCGTGGCCCAGCTGGTGGTCGGCCTGCTCCGTCTCTGCCGCTTGCCAGCTACACCTCGGCCAGTGCAGGGGGCGGCACCACGCATGTGCGGCGCTCCCGGGCAGAAAAAGTTCTCGACTTACGACCGGTTGGGTAGTCCTCAACTTACGACTGGTTGGGTAGTCCTCAACTTACGACCGGTTGGGGGTCGTAGCATTAAAAAGGTTGAGAACCACTGTTATAAAGAGTTAAATCCAAAGTTATAAATAATAAAATCATCAGTCTTTAGAATAAACCAAAGTATTACAAAGCCAGATACATTTTTGAATTTCCCAGAAATCTTCATTAGCAAGATAAAGAATTCAGCAAATTTATTTTCACTAACTTGCATTTGAAGCTTCAAATACCTCTTCAGGTGATTGTTCATTTAGTTTTAATTAATAGTATCCACTTAATTTTAATTAAAAAAGAAAGAAAAAACTAAGAAGAAACTACTTGGATAACTTATCTTGTCTACTATCTTGTTTCCCATAGTAGCCAATTAGTTGCTTCTCCTGACCATTCTAAATACTAAATTATATTACTTTTGATTGCAAATAATTGCCATGATTAGAAGCTATGTAACTAACATC